AAATGAATTATCATGAATTATATGCTAAATCAAAGAAAAATGTTTTGAGTTTAGTTTTAAATGTTTCAAATGATGTAGAAGTTCTAATTTTATCAGGTATAGAGTTCCAGGGTTCAGCAGCTGCGTACGAGTAGGCCCGCTGGCCATAGGTGACGATATTGATCTTGGGAACTTTAAGGAGTAATTTGTTAGAAGATCTAAGAGATCGTGTAGGTCTGCGGACATCTATAAGTTTAGAGAGGTCTAGGTTGATCATAGATGACGTCTTTAACTGTTTAAAGCTTTACAGTGAAACCACACGCTGATCAGCTCGTGGTTCCTCTTGAGTTTTGAACACTTTTAAGATGTCATCTATAATCAGTAAGGGGCGAGGTCAAAACAATGGTCCAAAATAGGGACCCGATTTTATGAATTAAGGTGGTGGGTATCGGTACATACCCCCTCCCCCGTCAGAGACCTGTTCAAATGCTAGGTACTGGGGTTCTGTAGTGGCAATTTCTATACACAAATGTGTTTTTTAACATACATGCAGACAGACAGACAGTCCATTCATTTCTGTGATTTGGCTTTTAGTTTTAGAGATATTTGGAGACAAAAATCTAAGATTTCACTTCCAGAGGTGGTGGGTATCGGGTAACACCACCCCTCCCCCCTAAATCGGGTACCTTGAGCTAACAATTGTTTTGCCCTCATCCCTAAGAGAACAGTCAATGGAAATCTAAAATTATTTTCTATTCTAGATGGTTTCAAATCTTTGGAGGAAATTTTCATTGATTGTATATCCAATTAATAGCTTAATTTTAACAGAATTTTTATTTGCTACACCAGTGGAAATAAACTTTACGAGTCRAAATGTTTCATGCGCATCAATCTGTAAAAAATCTTTTTTCGGCCGGGCAAGAAAAATTGAATCCATTATTTTTATTACGAAATTCGTTTATAACTCAAGGGGCATAACTCAAGTAGGGCCAAAGATTTGGCAATACAGTAAAAACCCGCGTATAAGAACCTA